ACAGACAAATGGCGTTAATATTTATGAATCAATTGAGTGGTGAGTTCTTGAGCTCATGGTTTTGGTGAATGTCTTCAGACGTAGAGGTAGATCACCGGTTAAGCCTATGGGTACACGTGCTGTGACCTCTCAGGTCACGCGGGGGTTGAGGTCAAGGGTTGCGATGTCTTCAGTGGCCACTGATGCCAATGGTATGGCCGAAGCGGTCACCTCTCCAGAGGTCGGCTCTTCGGGGAGGGGGTAAGAGAGACAGGTCTTACTCTCTGACCCCTACCCTCTGGTGATGACAGGTATTGATTAAACAATTCTTGAGGTATCGATTCTTGAGGAACGAATGGATCAGATGGTTGTGATAACAGTAGTGATGATAATAATGGCGTTGATATCAGACAGCACTCAACACAAAGACAAAGGAGATAATGGCTGTGGAGGTCGTGGACCTCTTGGCAATGAGATATATACCCGTATATCGTATGGTTTGCGATGCAATCTACCCGTTGGATCAGATGATGGGTGACACTAATGGATGACTTCTGATGACAATTATCTCTGCACGTAATTCATGGCATTTATTGGATGTGTCTTTGATGTGATGTCTTCGCGAGTGTTGTGTTTGAAATACCCGTAAAAATAATGATTACTTTTTGTGTTGAGTTTTATTTTTTTTGTGTTTTATTTTTATACATAACTCTCGTATTCATAGCCCAAGCGATGGCGTCAAAGGGTTGGCCACAACACACACAATAGACTATAGGGTGTGACCATAAATAATGTCGCCATTCGTTGCGCACGCAATGCTGGCAAATGTGACCGCATTTCGCGACGTAATGTGTGCGGCCTTGAGTGCACATATGATGTACGTTTACATTGAATTTGCCAGCATATTATGTGCAGTCAAACCTCCCCATACATAACGCGTGAATGTATATTGCTAAGAATTTATTTTATTTACCATGCTTATTTAAAATAACAATGATCAGGGGTGAGGGGTTATGGTGGGGGTGGCAGAGGGCAAATATTACTCGTTATTTAGCGTTAGAGTTTGTGCAGTGTGCAGGTTTATATTTATCAGGGTTAAAAGTGTGATGTGTGTACGTGAGCTACAGAATTTGTTATACATGTATAGCGAGGTTTGACTGTAATTTAAAAAACATTTTGAAGTGCAAAACGAGAGCCTATGATATGATGGGGGAGAGAGTGGGGGAAGGCAGGGATGAGAAACGTAATTATTTAACGTACTTAATGGTGCGACCCTATCTCTGTTACCAAGGGTGATTTGAAACTGCGTTTGTGTGTTGAACTTGGTATTGCGTGCACGACCACAAACCACGTACACTATATAATAGAGGGGGAGGGGGTTATGTATGAGGGGATTTACAATATTTAAAATGTACACAACTTATGGGGTGGATGAGGGGTGTATTAGGTATGTAGGCACACGTACTTTGTGAATGGCCCCCACTATTGCATTGACAAGTTGTATTGAATAGTGAGAGAAAAGAGAGTCAGTGTGAGAGAGCGACAGAGAGTGCAGTGAATGAGTCACAAGTGGTATTTGAAAAGCCATATTTCAACAGTGAGTTTACGTTCAGATTTTTAATTACACACTATTTTTGTGTTCTATTGTTGTGTTGTTTTGGTGGCCATTATTTTCGGTGTTATTTTTTTCGTTCGGTCGAATACACGCCCATTAAAGTCGGGTCAGACTGTACTCCACTGTGTTTTGAACGGCTAATAGTATTACAACACGTGTTGACCATCAGAAACAATAACAACAACACAACAGGTATTGTCAATGTCTGTCTGTCTTCGTTGTCTCAATTGATCCCACAAAGTGACCACCGATTGTCTCAATGACCGCATCCAGTGATATATCTTCTGAACGTATCGCTCGGTGTGTGAATGTCTTGGATCGCGGATCAGTTGAATCATGTCTTAATCAATGTACTGTCAAAAACCAATCACTCATTTGTCTCTCTATTTGTTCACTCACTATAGAGTCCAAGAGGTATACCATTTGATTGTCTGTCGATTGAGTCGAACCGGAAGAATAACCAGAAGATAATTGCAAGATGTCTGCCAACCCGACGCCCGCACAGCAGCAGCAAAACCAGTCGTCCAAACGTCTGCAACAANGAAGAATAACCAGAAGATAATTGCAAGATGTCTGCCAACCCGACGCCCGCACAGCAGCAGCAAAACCAGTCGTCCAAACGTCTGCAACAAACGCAGGCACAGGTATAGTGTGTCCGACCCCTTACACACCCCCTTCCCCTCCAAACCCCTACCCCTCCCACAACACATACCACAACCCAATGGTTGCCCCGATATAACCACCTGTTATTCATACCCACAAGTAGAGACAGTAGTCATGTATTTGTTAGGGGGCGGCACCGGTAGGTCCGAGTGCTCTGATTGTGTCCACTAATATGCTATGATATACAGTATGTATATTAGTTGGCTATAGGGTTGTGGCCATCGTTAGTCCCGAAGTATATATACGCCGGTTGTTTGTACAGCTGGTGCGACCCTCCCGTCCTCTCACCCCCTCCCCTCCACCCTCTCACCTGTGCCGAGAGCACCGGTAATGTCTAATAATAACACTAATGGCATATTGTTTTACACCCGACGGACGTACGGACCGACAGGTGGACGAAGTGGTGGGCATAATGAGGACAAACGTGGAGAAAGTGCTGGAGAGGGACAACAAGTTGTCTGAGTTGGACGACAGGGCGGACGCCCTACAACACGGCGCGTCCCAGTTCGAGCAACAGGCGGGCAAACTTAAGCGCAAGTTCTGGTGGAAAAATCTGAAGGTATGGCCACCCGATGTGTGCCCGATGTTTGCATTAGTTTGATTGTCTGGTTTTGGTTTTGTAATGTGTTGTTAGTGTTTGAGTCTATGGTTTAGTTTAGGTTAGGGTATAGTAAGGGGTACAGTATAGTTAGGGTTAGTGTAAGGGCCCCCTCCGCCCGGGCGGCCAGTGTGTTAGGCCCGGGCCTTAACCGATGTCTATCATAACCGAGCGGTCTGTTTGGCCAACGATTAGTTTAGTCAAGATTTAGTGTCTTATGTTTAGTTTAATTAAAGTTTTTCGGTAATCATTATAAGTCTATGGGAACTGTATGTCTGCCATAAGTGATTAATGGTATGATTTTGATGAAACCCAACACCATTTATAGTCCATTTTAATAGCTTTATTGTTTAACAGTGTTTAGATAGAGATATCGTATTACAATCGTTAATAGCTTTTAATGTAATTCAATATTGTTGTGCTTAAATATTTTTTGAATGTAAATAGGCTAGGTGCTAATTTTACAGTAATTCAAACCATGATTATAATTGTTTTAATTATGATTAATTACATTACAAAACAAACCAAATATAGATGATCGCACTTATGGTCGCAATTATAATCATTTTAATATTGATTTTTGGAAGTAAGTGTTGTTTAAACAGTAAATCTAATGTATTTTTCTCTCCCCATTCGTGCCAACCCTCGCCCCCTCACCCCTCCCGGCCCTCCCCGTACACCACCATTATATGCACATGACTTGGGGTGTATATGGCATGCATTTCTAGATGATTTTAATAATGGTT